GAGAGATCAGCTGGGATGAAAAAGGGCATCCAGTGTGCCGACACAGTGGCGACCATGGGGAAAAGGCAGCTTTTGTGATCCACAGTTTCAGCCACAGTGCTCCTATGGGACCACCGGGCCATTGGGAGCCCAAAGGGTGTCAGACCGTGGCTGAGAGGCTGGGGCTTCTGGGGACCACGGGAGCACTGAGCTCACTGAACAGATAAACCCAGGGGATTACTGTAAACTGCATGCTCTTCAGCCTTGCAGATGGTTAGAAATGGGGAATGTTTTACTTGACCCTATTTTAATTGAGTACAGCCTCCAGCTCAAGTAGGTGACATACATGTACAGTGACATACATGTACAGCGTATGAGGCAGCAGCCATAAGCTTCAATTTAAGCAGATGGCTATTAAACATAAAGGTAGTATGATTCATTGTTCCACCTTTTGCGAGAGCTATGTGCGGTAATTTGTAACAGAGTTAATTTACACCTAATGAGTAAGAGAGATTAATTCATGTGTATGATGAATTGCGCAGCGGCAAGCAGTCAGGCTAAGCAAATTCTTCAAAATGTGTGTGTGCGCATGTGTGTGTGAAAGTACCTTTTGTGAATGCTTTTCAAACACTGGCAAAGACTGCAGGGGCACTTATCTGAAATAAGTAGGCCTGTCCTCCACCACAGTCCTTGCTAGCAGCTCCATATGGTAATGAACTGCATAAGATGAAGAAAATATTTTATTTGCAACACAAACAGCACTGCAGTTAATTCAAGCAGCACAGCTATAATGCACTCACACACTTTAATACTTTCCAAGTGTAAAGTTCAGAATGAGCTCATTTGCGTTGCAATGATACACTCAACATTTAATCTTTTAATAATATGCTATGAAACAAGGCTTTTGCAATGCAAACACATGAGACTCTAAGTATCCGTGATGGTATGTAACCAGCTGCCAGAACATAAATTGAAATGAATAACTAACTAACTAAGAGGCTTGCCTGCCAAAGTGAGGCGATGATGAGGTTATGATGTCCGTATGTGCAGTGTTTCAGTGATGGTGTCCTCTCCAACATCAAGATTGTTTTAATCTGCCCAAACATGCCAACATGTGGCACTCCTGCCTCTTTCCAAGCTCATCTCTCCTTTGTGTCACGTCGGGAGTGCAGAGCCACTTTACATTTGAAGCTACTGTCTGTACTTTCACATAATAACTATATTGCTGGGCAATGTTTACCATGGAGACAGAAATCAATTCAAAACAAGAGCAAACCTTTGTTGAATCATAGATCAAAACACTCTATCTTCACACAAAAAGGACCTGATGTTTATGCCACTGCAGGTATTTATCTTGTTCCTGACTTCTGCTGTGGTTTGACAACGATTACCTTGACTTAATAAAAGAATATAAATAATGACATACAGAAACATATAACTACTAGGTATGATTCACTTCAAAAAATGGTCTGTTATTATAATTCTTACATATTTTCTAATCCTCATTTAGATCCTAATGTATTCCTCCCTTTCATCTTTGTAACCACTATTGTACAATGTTACTAAATAAACACTAAACCTGCAATGGAACATTTTTTATTATGAATAGATTGTCATATGTACCTCCCTGTACGCAGGTATATTACATCCCCCTGCTGCACACACAAAAACAAACAAAGACACATAGAAAGGGGTTGTTATGAGTCATTCATAAAGACTAATGACAAAATTCCCGCCTTCACAATGTACCATGAAGGGGCATGTTTGATAAAATTACCTTCACACTGGTCCAGAGCAGCTCATAAGGTCAGCTAATTAACAGACATAAGGCGAGAGGCATTTGCTATCACAATCAAATTTGTGGCTGAAGTCCTCCTGGCTAACTAACACAGCTGCACCCACTTATCACATAAGCCCAGTGGACCATGAGGTTAGCCATCAAAACAAAGACCCCGTCAGCCACTAATAGGATCTCCGGAACATTCCTGGACTGTGTGGGTGGAAGGTCAGCATCTTTTGGGCTGTTACTGTCATATATAATACATCTGATTATTATCAAGGCAGGCCACCAATCAGGAACCCACAGTTGTAACAGCGGTAAAAAAAACTGTAGCGGTGAGGAGTTTATATTCCTTTGGCTTTTCCTTTTCTCTTGTGTTCGCTTGCTCCTTTCAAAGGCCACATGTCTGTGTATCTAAGCAAACTCATTGTCATTTAACTTATGTATTCCGGTGGCCACTTGTGTATTATCTGTCTATCTTTCACATTTCCGAGTGTGAATGGGCATGGGCTCACAGCAGCAACTTTACAGAAACATAATTAGAAGGGAGCTGGTATGACAGATGGATTACAATGATAATTGAGAGCGTGGAGAGTGTATCGTCCTAGCTGCAGTGCACCTGCTTTGTCTTTGACGTAAACAGCAGAGGAGGTAAGAATTTGTCTTCCCATACAGCGTGCCTGTGGAATTACAATACCTTTCAGTTTGTTCCCCTATTCACGGGAGCATATTCTGCTAACACTGATGAAGAAAATTGTAGATAGCCTGATTTTATTATTCCAAAGCAGATGGTGCAAAATGAGACATGGGGGCACAACAGCTCAGTGACCTTCATGTTGCTAATCTAACATTGCCCCTACATTGATCTAACATTAACCCTCAACCCTCACAGAATATGCATGACTCCAAACGGGGCTGGTGGCCTGCTTGCTTTCGAACAAATCACCTCCCGACATGCAATTACCTCCTGCTCTGGAGTTATTTCTTTCCTGTGGATACGACGGCCCTTTCATTTGAGTCTGGGAATTAAACAGGTTTCCAGGTTAATTCATTTGACAGACAGACCCCATTGTGCCCAGTGTCAGCCCAAAAGGAAACCGTATTGCCTCTTGTCCTGAAGGTTGACTTTTTATTGTTCTTTTCTTTAAAGGAGCACACAATGCCAGCCCTGTAATTGACTTGAAGAAGACAGCATCGAGCAGACGTGTTATTGAATGCTTGAAACAAAAGCTCTGGTCTCTCATAGGAGCTTGTAATTCCTCTAGTGGGAAACATTGAAATGTAGTGCACCCCCGGCATATGGAAACCATTGCAGTGTTTGTTTGGTCAGCTTTATATTGAACACATTCGCAATTCTCCCCGCTTGTAGCTTTCTTATCCCAGGACGAAATGAAAATGGATATAATCTGAGTGTGTTTGTGTCTGTGAGTGTCTATATGAACGTGAGGAGAAAGAGAGAAGATCCAAACCAAAGTGTGATCTCAGTCTAAATCACACTGCCTGCCTGGGGAAAAGACCCCTCTTCTTGGGGTTAGTCAGTAAATTAAATCATGGTGAGGGCCCCATTTTTCAAAAGTAACCTTTCCGTTGACAGTGTAAGTGGGTGTCAGGCTCTCACCGCAGAGTCCGAGCGGTGGAATTAGTGTCGTGCGTAGCGACACCAGTCTCTCAGGGCGTCATTTGTAGGGAATTTTGCAGCATTTTTTCAAAAGCCTGCCTTCCTTTCTCAGTGCGCTCACAGTGTAGGAGGCCATCTGCCTCCCTCATGTCTCACATTCCTCATTTCTCTCCTCAGCAATCTCTTCCCAGCAGTTCTCACACTGTGTCCTACAATTTATTTTTGGTGCAGCTCATGAATTTTGGCCTTGACAAGCTGTTTTTGCACCCCACAACCATACTGACATGCTTGGAGTGTGAAATGCGGATTTGCCTGTACGAAAATATTCATGCAAAATCAGTGCGGCTAATGGAGATAAATACACTATATGGGTAGGATAAGGCTGGAATTAATCTTTATTCAATTCAATTAATTACAAATGTGTCCATCCAAGCCTGTAATGTCAATAGGACATGTTTCAATTAGAGCTACATCGCCTTTTCTAATCTTTTAATTGAACACAAACGAATGGAACGAACATGTTCATAAAATGTGATTCTATGCCTCATAATCATTTTCGCGATAAAGCAACTCTCAGAGGCTGTTTATTAGTCAATGATCAAGAAACTTAACTGACTCATCCTATAATCCGTTTATCCTGTTTGACAGTCTCCCAGAGCGCTGCTGTGATATCTTGACAATATCATCCATGTGGATAGTATTGATGGATTTGTGGCAGTGGTGTAGTGGTCAGCACATTAATGTATCTACAGAGTGCTCAATCGGCACCTTTTCTAAAACTATAACCCACTGAATAAATACAGCAGTCAGTCTTACACTTTTGTATTTTTAAAGAAGGGATTTGAATTACACCTAGAAACTAGCTTTTTTATTTAATGCCACAAATTGCTGAGCGGGTCCCTGGCTAATGCATGCCCACTGAATGCAAATTATCACAATCTGCTTGTTTGTAAAAGCGCCATCTGTGCAATTAAATAGTTTGGTGATGATAGTGTTTTGTTGAGAAGATGTGAGGGTTCCTTGCTCCTAAAGGTGTGGTAATTCTCACCAGTCTGTTTGCCAGCCAGCGTGCATGCCAGCATGAGGCTCACCAAGTGTGTACGTCGTGTATGTGTGTGGGCGTGTGTGTCTGTGTGTGTGCGCAGGATGAATCAGGAGTGTCTTCTGAAGAAGGGTTGCCTGGGAGACCAGCCTGGACCCCTCCAAACGTGTCTGTTCTCCCACTCCCTCCCTCCCTCCTCCGTTTTAAAGGTGCATCAGTAATGCATCCACAACTATTTCAGGAAGGCACTTCTTAGTAGGCGGGTGAAGCCGTCAATACCTGCAGCTCTGATTTGTTTCTTAATGCCACACATCTCTGTTTCATCACTGCCACAGCTAACATCAAAAGCAAAGAGGAAAAAAACATTCTCTGACTTCTGCATGTGTTTTTCTGTGTGTGTTTGAGGGGGAATAACTGAGGGAGGGGGAAAGAGATTAATGGCACTGAGATGCACTCAGAGGAACAATTGTCTTCAAGTCTATACGTGCATTTGTTCGCCTTATTTACCTTATCGTTGAGCTGACTGAAGACAACTTCCTGAAAACCTTGCCACGAAGTGATGCTACTATTTTTTCTCTTTTTTCTAGCCAGCTGAATGACGTCTCGCAGGGAATGGGGGCTGAAAACTCGGCGCACAGTGATTCCTTCGCTGTGACTCATTCCTTTTGTATAAACACAAGCGGTTGCAGGGACCGAGAGTCAGTGTTTTAATTAGCTGGATTTTTCTCCTAGTCGGCCGCTCGTTTCAGCTCGTTTCTTTTTCTTTCTTGTTATTTGGAGACTGTGGAGATGATATGCAACCCCGGGGGAGACAGACACCACAGCCGAGCGATGCGTCTCTGCGCTCCCGTGGAGTTGGTCTGAGCACGAAGAATGTCACCTACTTCTGCCGGTCCTAACATCTAAGTATTGATCCTGAAAGATAATTCCTTAAAAAATCACTATATTTCTAATCTTGTGCAATCACTGCTTCAGGTAGTGACGATTGCAGCAGCTTTATTGCGTTACGCGCTTGGAAATCAGCATAAATAGACTAAATTAAGCCAGTTCATCAGAAGCGGGTGGTTATCTTCTATTACTGATGTTTTCTGACTAATGGATGGAGCGTCTCTTTCCGAGGGAACTGTATTACCGTCAGGAGCTTCACTGTTCAACAAGCTGCACCGCTCACTCCTGGCAGCGACGCGATGGGCGCAGTTTGTCTGAACCATCCACTGCGTCTCGGTTCTTCAGCCCAGCTTGTTGAATCTCCTCCTTGCTGAAAAATAATGGATTCGTTTTAACAAACTTATTTTACCCCTGTGGTTCTACATTCCGCGCATTGCAGACTCAATTTTTCCCTAAAAGTTGATCATGGCTGGTCCAGGTTCGTGCGTGAAACTGAGCACTATATGGAGAGCGTTTTTGCTCATGAGGACTGTGGTAGATTTCGCGCTGCCTCAGGAGACTTATGCGCCCCATTCAATACGGACTGAGGGGCACCTGACCCTCGGTGGACTCTTCCCGGTGCATGCCAGGGGAGCCGATGGCATGCCGTGCGGGGACCTCAAAAAGGAGAACGGGATCCAGCGGCTTGAGGCCATGATGTACGCTTTGGACCAAATTAACCAGGACAATACACTCCTACCCAACATCACCTTAGGCGCCCGGGTGCTGGAGACGTGTTCGAGGGATACCTACGCACTGGAGCAATCTTTAACTTTCGTTCAAGCCCTGATCACGAAGGACACCTCCGACGTGAGATGCACTAACGGGGAGCCACCGGTGTTTGTCAAGCCTGAAAAAGTGGTGGGAGTCATCGGAGCCTCGGCGAGCTCAGTATCGATTATGGTTGCCAACATCCTACGCCTCTTTCAGGCAAGTCTTTGAGCGTGAGCGATAGTTTTGTGGGTTTTTAAAATAGTGTTTTCACTGATGCAGCTAGTGTCCAAGCATCTGGTAATAATCGGTTTTAAAGGGAGGAGTGTCCATTGCCTCATTGCAACCCACTCAGTTACGGGAAGCAGACGTGAACAGGGAGTAGGCTATAATAACCACCATAAAACCTTATCTCACAAAGTATCTGGTATTAACAAAAATCTTCTGTTTTCACACATACATTTTCATTTTCTCCCATTTAAATGTGGGGCATGTTATAACAATTTACTCTAGATTTAAGATCTTAACATACTGTTACAAAGGAAAGGCGAAGTGATTTAGGTGGTTTTCTCCTCCACCACACTGTGGGTGAGACAGCTGAGTTGCTGTTGCTTGTCCCCGTTGGTGGTGAAGAACAGCTCCCGTCTGTTCCAGTCTCAATCCAGAGTCTGGATGAGTGGGCACTGACAGCCTGACACAATCACACCCAAACTCAACAACCCCCTCCTGAGAATAACAGGCCCGCTCCATGTGATTGCACATGATTATATGGGCCTCTTGTGCAGAGTGACTGCAGGCATTTTTATGAATTGTTTTGAACCTAAACGCCTTGATTTATGGCTTGCTTTTATCTACAGGAGGCACCTTCTTTGAAAAGTTTTTCAAACTCTTCGTGTCCTAATTGAGCTCGATGGCTGCGAGTTAATTAAATGAATTTGCATTACTAATTTCAGAATGAGTTAGCTGGGGTTCATGGGAAAAGCATCTCTATTCCTGTTGGATGAGAGTAGACTGACAGTGTTTGCCCACTGCTGGTGCTGCAGTGGAGAAGGAAACACAGCAGGGCACCAATACAGTAGATGAATTATTTAAGACACATCTCCATAGCAAAATGTCTAATTACATGAACTACCATGTGGATGCTTATGCAAATGTGAAGACTTTTATGCAGTTTTCTTGTGAGAGGACAGCAGTGCGGATCATCAGAGTGGCAGAGTTAGTGCTAATGATTTGCTGTTGCAGATTGTAACTCATAGTTTTGTCGTCTTGTGTTTTGTTTCAGTTCAATTAGACAAATCATGCGGCCTGGCTTTAAGTAGCTGTTTAACTGCACTGCAAGACCATCAAAGTGCTTAACATGCTTTTAGCCCTCCTCTTCCTTTTCTTTTCACACGCACACGCATGCACATAACCACTTACACATGCAACACTTTTTTTTTCTTTCACAGCAGTCGTCCCTTGGGGTTTTCTGGCTCCATAGACTGGACAATTAGACCGATGGTCCCAACCACAACCTTCAGCTTTTGGTTCCTATATAGGCTGAGATAACAAATTACTTTTTTATTATCCAAGTTGGTAAACCCTAGCGATGCTTTGAAGCACCCTCAATACAGTTGTTATTTTCGCAGTGTGGGAAGATTGCAGTACCTTTTTGTGCATGCAAGCAATGCAACTTACGTATTTGAGAAATTCATGTCAGGCATACCAGCGTGTCTGTACATAAAGCGTAGGAGTAGGGTGTAGTCCATGAACAATGTTGACCTGGAGCTCAGGCTTGAGGAATCTGGATTGAAGAGCAGAACTCATGAAGCTCTGTCAGACACTCTGTATCTTATTTCCCTTCAAACGTTGAATAGAGGTGAATTTAATAACCACAGTCAAATCTGCACACACGATAAATCCAGTCTGAAGCCGTTTGCCCTTCAGCACACTTGTTTTTCTTAGCCAGCGGTGATGATAGCTCTGATAATAAACGATGATGAATTAAATGTGAGGCCACATGGTAGTGTATAATCAATACTTACCAGAAATGAGAGCTCCCAGCACATTTACGCTCATTAGTTTTACTGCATTTGATTAGTGTGTTGCAGTCTTTACAAATGTCAGAGATTGTATATAACTGCGATCCATCAAGCATCAAGTGATTCAAGCCAAAAGAATGAAAAGCTTGATAATAACACCTGTTCAGTTATGATTAATGAAGCCAATGAAGCAAAGCCGATTTTCTTCAGAAGAAAATAGTTTCTTGTCCTTGTCAATTTGAGTTACACTCGATTGTGGCCACAACTAAGCAGTCTAATGGACTTTGAAGTGAAATCTTTACACATTAAGCTTTTGGTCAATGTGCTCTCACTGAGCTTTTCTCCGAGCCTCTTTCACCCTTTGTTCTCAGTGAATATCATCAGGTGATTTGGTGTCTCCCCTCTGTGATAAATGAATGATCAGTGCAGCTTAATGTTGATTGTAGATTTGTATTTCCATGTGCAAAACACCACGGTTGTCTATTCAAGACATGAGTAGCTGCTGAACTGTTAATGCTGGGAAATTGACAAGAGGGAATGATTTTTCTGAGGACCTAGGAGGGTTGATCAATACTGTTGCCATGGTGAGGCCGATTTGCTGCTAAGATGTTTTTATTTCACTGCCTTTCATGCTGTGTTGGAAATGAGAAGCAACAATGCCAAAGGAGGACAAAAAAATCAATCAGCCAAACTTTTTAATTGTTACCACGAGCAATGATGGTGTGCACCTTTTGAAAAATCGTCCAATCCCTTCTGTGTAGCTCATGGAGCACCCAGTCATTCTCGGGGAGGACGACACTGTAGTTGAAAAGACCCGGCAAATTTGTCTATTTGTAAGGCCTGGCCTCTTGAATGAATCATGAAATTGATTTTTATCCAGATGACATTACATCAGGGAGTTCAGCTTGCAATTCTCTGTCCATCTCTTTTTTTTTTTTAAACGGGGCAAAACTTTGTATTGAATGCAGGTGAACTGCGTGTTGTCCCCGTGTCTGGGGAAGCAGCCCCTTCAGACGAGCTGTCTAAGGCATTGACGTCCTCTGCTCTCAGAGCCCTGACAGGCTCCGGTCGGCTTTTTATCTCGTTTTTTTTACAGAATCACTACCGTGATTGATTTGAAGGAGATTGAAGACTTGCAGTGTGATCTATTCCAGAGACTGTTGTATAGACGGACGCCATAGGAATATGACTGCTGTGTGTTTGACTTGAGTGACAGGTTCACACAAAATGTCGAAGGTTAATTATATTATCTGTTTTTCTAAACACTGTTGCCCTTTGAACATTGATGCATGAGCTAGTGCAGGTCAATTGCTAGCACTGTGTTCAGCCCCATCATAGGGGACACTGTTGGTATGTCACATATGCACTATATGATTAGATACGCACGCACGCACGCACGCACGCACGCACGCACGCACGCACGCACGCACGCACGCACGCACGCACGCACGCACGCACGCACGCACGCACGCACGCACGCACGCACGCACCACGCACGCACGCACGCCACGCACGCACGCACGCACGCACGCACGCACGCACGCACGCACGCACGCACACACACACACACACACACACACACACACACACACACACACACACACACACACACACACACACACACATGTATATGCATACAAAGAGCTCAATTACCATTTCTGAAGGAATGCAAACACAATTGTCTCATGGATATTTCATGATCCACACCAGTGACTTTGGGCGTTATATTTTTTCCATCGCTTGCTAATTGGCTTTTATTCATTCAGAGTGTGACACAAAGACCCCACTCAGTGCATTATTTCTTCATAACAAGAATGTGAGAAAATGGAAAACAAAGTAATTCCACTTCTCATCTATCTTGACATTTCTGTCCAATTTATGGTCAAGCCTCTTATGAGAAAACCATAAGAGCTATTTTATGTATATGTATATCTAATATATATTTGATGTACATAAAATATATATATGTTTGTGTGTTTGTAAATATGCTATTATTGGGTGGGAGCAGTTAGTTAGTTTACTCTCATTTACGGTACAGCAAAGAATGAGACTCCTGTTTGTAGCTAAGAGTAAAGTCAGGTAGTCTGAAAGTCGAACAAGAATGGACCATTTATCATGAACAAGAATGAAAAAAACAGGTTGAGAAAGGCTCAGTGGGATTCACCTAGTAGGAGAAAACTGGCTGAATATGCATAATGTTAATAATTCTTAGACCAAAGAACAAGGGAATTACTAAATCAGAATGAGTAATGTGAGTCTATCTGTCTGACTTTCTAAATGGTTTCTATTTAAGCTTGATTTTGGCCAAAAGCTCAAAAAGAAGACAAACTATATTCAATCGATTGTTTCATGTAGAAGTCACACATTCATATGAAAACGTATTAACAGCAGCTTGCTAACAAATAGCTGCAACAAAAAAACGTGCATACATCCTATTTCCAATGTTCCTTTTATTCTACATGGACATGACATCAGGTAAGCGGTTGGGAGGATGCCTGTATTTATAGATGAGCTGTGAAGACACTAGTAGGAAGAATAACATCGTACCTATGTGAAAATCACATCAGCATTACATCAAGAAGTACAGCCCTGAGGGACACAATTTGTGTCTGAAACATTACTTCCTTGTAGAATAAAAGAAGACAAGGGAACAACACAGCACCATACCGTTTGTTTTTTTGTCATTGTTTCCACGAAGAGCACAAAAACAATACATTGCATACAAAACTGTCCAAAGAAGGTCTCCTCTCCAGAACTATAAACACACTTGATTTACAGTCTAATGACACTCTTTTCATAAATAACATTATTCCTGACAGGATTTAAATGTTTGATAATTCATACTGTTTTTGTAGAACCATTTATATATTTTTAGAAATAACCTCCAGAACTAGGATATTGCCTATGAAATTGGTGAATAAATTAAGTAAACTTTTAACATGTTAAATAATTCTTGAAAGTCTTACAGTGTGAATACAAATTATACTGCCTAGTACAAGTATTATGATAACATATAAATGATAATAAAATACACTTTAGTAGAGCTTTTTTTTGGGAACTTTAAAAGTGTTACTTTTTATTTGTCCCATGGATATACTAAATACATAATCTTCAGTCCAGCGATTCTCCTCTTTGGTCCTTGGGCCCGAGTGCCCTGCTGGTTTTTATTCCATCCATTTAATGAGATGCTGACTTATG